GTGTGTGTGTGAGTGTGTGTGTGAGTGAGTGTGTGTGAGTGTGTGTGTGAGTGTGAATGTGTGTGAGTGTGTGAGTGAGTGTGTGTGAGTGAGTGTGTGAGTGAGTGTGTGTGTGAGTGTGAGTGTGTGAGTGAGTGTCTGTGAGTGTTAGTGTGTGTGTGTGAGAGAGAGAGAGAGAAACGGCAGGAGAGAGAATGTATTTAGTAAACTTCAGCACTTGTTTACATTATGAGCAGTTTGTGGATTTTCATTAAAACACATTTATATTGAGATGATTTTACATTTATTTGTCTTAGATTAAGCAACTGAAACATTTTAAGTGTAGTTCCCAATTTTTTGTTAAGTTTAAATTTCAGTTTAATGAAACTTCACTTTGAGCCTATTGCCACTGAAGGAAGTCCTGGAAGCTGCTTACTGTTTATGTCATTGCTTCAAATACTTAATTTGGAGATCCGAAAGGCAGAAGTAGAAAATAAGCTGTGTTTATTGATTTACTTTGAATACAGATTCACTATTTTCAGTAGATATCTCTTCATTTGTAGGCTTGATGTAAACATTACTGAATAAACACATGCCTACTAGTGTTTCTACTGGCTTCCTTTTTTATGTAAAAGACATAGAATTCAGTTGTTTATTATGAATTTACAACGACTTCTTAAAAAGATTGTGAGGATCCCTGTGTAAGGCATATCATATAATAAGTTAATCCCATAATCTCTCCCCAGATGTTGTTTTATTTCATTTCCTTTGGATTTCAGAGAAAGGCTTCCTCATACATATTTTACCAGGGAAAGCAGTATTTTAAAAAGTCTTCATTTAAATGACCAGTACCTTTCATTTTAAAAGGTTAAAAGATATCCTATTTCCAGTACATTCTAAAGGTTTGAACTCCAACATCATTATTAGCCTAGAAGCAGGCCTCTGAAGAATTTAAATCCTCGTGTAATCTGAGGGGGTTAGTCTTGCTCGTCCCTTGGCCTCCTTCAGTACTTGTTACTTCAGAGAAAGAAGTTCTCAAACGTTTCAGCAGCACACAGAGCAGGCAGCCCTGCCCCTTTCAGAAGCGCTGCTTGGTGTAATCTTGAAATTAGCCGTCCATGTCCCGGAGTGCTGGTTCCCTGCCCCACTCTCGTTATGTCTGTTATTTCACCCAGTTACTAAATTTTATAATAGTCTCAAAGTGCCCATCAGGGGCTTTACAATGTAAAGGACACACACACGAGACAAGCGTGGCTTTCCCCCTCGGGCCATTGCGTTTCATGATTGCCAGGTCATAGGTAGGTGTCTGCGTAACTGACGATGGAAAAACAATTAAAAAGAGATGGATTCTTATTTATTAACTAACTTTATACACTCGCCGAAATAGAAGTCTTTAGGATGAGTCCTGTATGGAGTAACATCGTCACAGAAGATATCCCGCAGGTACACTCTTTCATTTGAAAGAGAATAGGCGTTTGAATGCAAAGTCCCAGGGCAGGAGCAGAAAGGAAGAAGGCCCTGGACACTGGGCTCCCTCTTTTCATGCCGTCGGACTGGGGGGTTTATATCCTGTGTCCAATCAAAAGGTTATACCAAATTTTTTTTTTTCTCATTTGGAACTCCAATAGAAGTGCATGTTGTATCCTTAAAATATCAGATGGAAAGTCTTGTTTAGCTGGGACTTGAGACAAAGGCCTGTTAACTTCCCGGGAGAAGAAAGATTGGCTGAGGTTAGANTAAATAGAAATGCATGTTGTATCCTTAAAATATCAGATGGAAAGTCTTGTTTAGCTGGGACTTGAGACAAAGGCCTGTTAACTTCCCGGGAGAAGAAAGATTGGCTGAGGTTAGACCAGGAGGTCTACGTGCAGAGGCGGAATGTGCTCTAGAACCTGGTGCGGGGATTTTATAAAGACCGGCCTGGGTCCGAAGCTGCGAGAGACATACACATCCAGGGCGTGGGCTNTGAAGCTGTGAGAGAGATACACGTCCAGGGCGTGGGCTCCCTAGGAAGGGAGTCTTTTGTCCACTCATTCAACGTAGGAAGGGTATTGATGGCAGGATGACCCGGGGTGTTGAGGAAAGGGTGTTCCAGGGGGCACACGGCATTCTGGAGGGTGGAGGAGACTGTGGTTCACGGTGGACCCGTGAGGTGGGGGTGCATGGAGTAAGACTGTCGAGGTGGGGGCCAGAGCTGGAGGACCCTGACGGCAGGCCAGGGAGCTTCGGGAGGGAAGGAAGCTAAGGGAGCACGAGCAGAGGTTTCGTTCATTCGACAGGCACCTGTTGAAACAGGGTGGAAGCGGAATCGGGTTCGGGGAAAAGAACCTGACAGCAGCTGGTAGCATCAGTCACGGGGAGGGAGACGCTCCTGCGGTGGGTCCAGAGGGAGCTGGTAGCGAACCAGCTAAACGAGGTAAAGGTAATGGAGGAAGCGGAGGCGGAGCTACTTTATGTCCAAAGGACTTGGTTCAAATCCTAGCTCTTGCCTGTTACCTGCTGGGTGATCTTGGCCACACTGTAATTTTCAGAGACTCTGTCCTCGTAGATGCACTATGACTATAATCATAATGCACCTCACAGTGTTGATCTGTGAGGCTCAAAGGGCTGC